AGAAAAAGAAAGTGGGTGAACCACAACAACAAGATTCTGCTGAAATAAAGCCCCGTGCAACAGGAAGAGTATTCGCAATGTATGCAGAAGAGGCTACTAAGCCAGGTACATTAATCTTACACATCTGTATGTTGTTAGGAGAATGCGTATATGTTTTGTTTGATTCTGGAGCTACACACTCCTTTATATTCCTAACATGTTTAGAAAGACTCAGATTACCGATGCGTGATCTAGGGTGTGAATTAGTAGTTTCTACACCAGCATCGGGACCAGTTACGACCAGTTCAGTCTGTGTCAGATGCCCGATCCAAATTGCAGGACGCAAGTTCAAAGTGAACTTGATCTGCTTACCCCTTCAAAATCTAGACAATATTTTAGGAATGGATTGGTTGACTGCCAATCACGTTCTTATTGATTGCGGGAAACAAAAGATAGAGTTTCTAAATTTGAATGATTTAGAACTGAGCTCAACTCGGGTCATTGCGAAAGATATCAAAGATGGAGCTACTTGCTATGTGATGTTAGCTCAGGAGAAAAGAGAGAATACTGAAGAACAAATCATCGGAATTGTCAACACCCAATTTCGTCCGGGTTGACTAATAGATTTGTTTTATTTTCATCATGAGTGTAGAATAAATAAAAAATAAAAAAAATGAAAAAAAATAATAATAATAAAACAAAAGAAAACGTTCTTCCTCCACCGAGCGCGTTCGGCTCCTTCCCCTGCATGAGACCGTTCGTCCTCTACCGTGAGACGTTCGGCTCCTTCCCCACTGATGCTCGGCCATTCGACCTCAATGACGCTCGGCCGCTCATGCTCAACCATTCGGTCATCCTCATGCGTTCCACTATTGGCCCGTTCGGCCTTTCGGTCCTTTAGAACGTTCGGCCTTTCCTAGCCTCAACCGTTCGGTCATTTTCTTCCAGCGTTCGGTTTGTGCATTCGGCCTAGCAGCAAACAACGTGTTCAGGCGTTCGTCCAAAATGGTCGTGCTGTTTGTGTTTTAAAATTGTCTGAGGACGCTCGCTCATCTACAGCTCGCTCGGGCAGATCACTCCTCCTCATTTACCGCTCGTCCATGCAGTGTCTCACGCGTCCACACTTTCAGCCTCACGGACGTTCGACTTCAATCGCGTTCGTCCGCTCGGCCTCAAACCATTCGACCTCAAAGACATTCGGTCGTTCGTCCTCATCTGTTCAGCCATTCGGTCTCGTTGACGTTCGGCGTTCCTCTCTTCACGGACGTTCGACTCTTCAGTCTCGTAGTTTAGCGCTCGTTCTTAAATATTTGTCAACGTAGCGTTCGGTCATATTAGTAAACGTTCGACCTAGTAGGATGAGACGTTCGTATATGCTTTTACTTTATTTTTAATAAATAAATAAAAAACTGAAAAAGGTTGGGCCGTGTGACGTCATCGGATGTAGACAGTTAACAAATTTTTCCACTACTACCAACCCTCCACTTATGTCTGCCTACAATCTTCCACCAACCCAATAATTTCTACATCCTCTAATCATAGCTGCCGGCAATGGCACCCCTTCTGCCAATTTAAGGAGCCCATCATCTTCACTGCAAAGGGGGGATACCCATGGCTACTTGAGGCCATCATCATCTGACTCTCATCATTTTCCAACTTCTATTCCCCTCCATCAACCTAGGCTTTTACACCAAAGTAGGCAAATATGCCTTCTTTATTACCAAAATAGGCAAAATTTGACCGAAAGTGAAGTCGTGGGGGCCAAAACGACTTCAAAAGAAGAGGTCGTGCCCCCCTGCACGACTTCACACTGTTCATAGGTACAGTGTTGAAGTCGTGCACCCCAAAAACGACTTCTGGGTCCTGTAATCGATTACATTGATTTGGTAATCGATTACAGAGGGTTGAAATGGTGACCAGGCAGAAAACGTACTGGTAATCGATTACGACATTTCGGTAATCGATTACCAGCTTGATTGTGTAGCAAGAAGCACTCTACGATCTGAGCGAGCAGTGGACGCTCGTCAAGCGAGCAGAAGAGGACGCTAGTCCAGCAAAGACGCGCAGTGGACGCTCGTCCTGCAAGCAGAAGTGGACGCTCGTCCAGCGAAGACGCACGAGAGGACGCTCGTCCAGCGAAAAGAGAACGCTCGCCCTGTGGACGCAAGCGAGGATGCTCGTCCAACTAAAAGAAGGGCGCCGGGCGCCAATTTTTTCGAGAAGCTCGCGCCCGGGCGTCGTGTAGGGTGGTCACGATTTCAACACTCTGTAATCGATTACCGTTACGTTGTAATCGATTACTGTCGTCAGAAGTCGTTTTTGGGTGCACGACTTCAACACTGTTCATATCAACAATGTGAAGTCGTGCAAGGGGGGCACGACTTCTTCAATTGAAGTCGTTTGGGCCCCCCACGACTTCCCCATTTTCATAATATGGTTTGAATTTGCCCATTTTGGTAATATTAGAGGCATATTTGCCTACTTTGGTGCAAAAGCCATCAACCTAACATCATCACCTTCACCTTACCTCATGGCCCTTCCCCTTCAACAACATTCACCTTCCTCGGCTCATCACTCCCGACACACTTCCACCACAATGTCTTCTTCTCCACCATCTCCAGCATCATCATCTCCTCATTCCTTGCACCTCCACGGCCAACTTAGGACCTTTCTCTCCGCCCTCAACATTCACCCGTTACCAAGCAACCACCGTGAATCACACCAAACCTGCAAGAAATACAAGAAACAACCCAACCCTTTTCCCAAATCACCACCAACAACTACCGCCAGGTCCACCAAGAATGGCGACATTGAAACGGCTGAGAAGTTGATCGGGGAGATGAGTTTGAACGGTCTTTACCCTGATCTTATTACGTACATGGCAATAATGGAGGGATTATGTGATGTGGGTCGCCCAGAGCATGCTTATTCTTTGCTTAAGGTTATGAGAGTACATAGATGTTCAACCAATTTGGTCCTTTTATCAGCCATTTTAAATGGCTTGCGTAGGTCTGGATCTATGGAAATGGTATTGGAGTTGTTGGATGAAATGGAGAAAGGTGGGGATTGCCGTCCAAAATGTTGTTAGTTATACATCTGTGATTCAAAGTTTCTGTAAGAGAGGTCAGTGGACGAAAGCATTGGATATTCTGGATAGAATGAAAGCTTCGGGGTGCCATGCAAATCATGTTACTTTTTTACTTTGGTTGATAGCCTTTGTGTTGAGGGTCGTGTAGGAGAAGCTTACAAGTTGATTGATAAGTTTGTGGTGGAACTGGTGTTTCTTATGGGTGATTGTTGCAATTCACTTGTGATTTCATGATAAGGATTAAAAAGCTGGACGAAGCAATGAAGCTCTTCATGGAAATGCTTTCTGGTGATGCCACACACAACACAAGGAACAAAACCAAATTTCAAGGCTGCATCAAGTTTCTCGAGTCTTACTACTTGATTCTCGTTTATAAACGTAGACAGATTGGTGCTATATGTGGCCATGCAATCTATAGCATCAAGGAGATCCAATTGATAATCATTCCACATGTTTCAATCCAATCTGATTTAGCTCACTCTAAGACTGAGCTCAGGTAGATAACACTTCCAAAACGTTTACCACATCTAACAACATCATTTTCTTACCATCACCACGTCTCACTGCAGGTACAAAAAGCTTTTGTCTAGTGTCGATTTGACCAAGGATTTTTTCTATAGTTACACTTACCCTATAATGCAAAGTTTGCAAAAGAACGTTTCTCCTAGCGAAGACGGAGGGATGTGTATGATAATATATTTGTTTGGAATGCATATTTGACACAAGCAATCAGGTAATGCAATAACACTATTTGGACCATAGCTTTAGTTCATGGTCATTTTAGGCAGGTACGTTACTTCCTTTCTGTCGCCCGTCATTCATTATAGTTCGTTTCTTGTAAATGAAAGCCTACTTGCTCTTTTTGAAGCAGCATTTCATTAAAGATCCATGGTAAATTTACAATTATTTATAGAATACCTGCTGGTAGAGCAAGATGAAAAATGTCTTAACTTCACTATTACTGGAACTCGGGATTAGGAATAACAAGTGGTTAGCTTCATACTCACAAAAATATATAGAAACAGCCCAAACTTAGAACTTTGGTTGTCTCCTCAAACAAGAAAAAAGAAAAAGAAAATAAATACATTTATGATTTTAGAAATATAAAAGATAATATTTTAGAAGTATTGGCCCCAAATTTCTCTATAGAAATTAATATTATGCTAATTACTCGTAGAAATAACACCTTTTTATAATTTGTTTTCCTCAATTGAAATGCATAGGTGGTTCCACTCAAGTGATTAAAAATGCACAAAACAAATTTGCCTTATAGAAGGTTGTCATAAAGGTTTTGGAGGCATGAAAGCTGAACCCCTTTGTATCTGAAGGCAAAAGAAATAACAGGCTAGCACAAATGTGGTTAATCTAGGCCAATTACTGAGGCGTATGAATCTTTTGCAACGGAATCTAAAGATCACTCTAAACATAAAGTGAGATTAACTAGGTATAAGGAAACTACGATATATGTTAAAACTTGGAAACAAGAGAATTGTTCTACGAAACACACATAGATGCACAAAGAAACACATAATATTTCAAATCTAATAAGCTTTTATTTCTTTTGAATATGAACAATAATTAAATATATATATTATTATTATATATATGACTAGGCGGTTGTTGTATAGCCCAATAGCACTTCTTGTTTTACGGTGAAGGTGCGTTGTAAAATCTAGGGTGGAGAAGCATTGTTTTCATTAGCTAAATCAAAAAAAATTCTGTTGGTCAATTGGTTGACAGGAAAGATCATGTTAGGTTCCTTGAGAAGTTATAATCAAAAAATCAATTGTGTTTTTCCGTGCAAGAAATTGTGATCTTGACTAAGTAATTAGCAAAATAGATGTATGCAACAACTATATAATCAAAAACTGTTATTTAATTTTGAACATGTTCTATATCACTATTCATAATATGCTCACTTAGTATAGTTTTCTTAACTAAGGTTTTATACCATTCTTATTGAAACTACTCTAATAGTCAGTATCGCATTAATCACAATGATAGCTCATGATGTTCTAAGGATAATGCTTTGAGTAATGATCCACAATTCTAAATATTCTCATGTGTCATAAGAAATACAACTTTTTATAGATCTTGAAAAGTATTTTCGAACTGTGCAACTCCATTCCATCTCTGAATGTCCATTGTTCTAATTGGTCACAATCAAAATGATTGCTATGTACCATGCAAAGTAAAACGTATATGTATTGTGTATTAAATAGATCACTATGTATTTTTTTTATAGCTTTATAATCATATAATGATTAAAAGATTACTGTTGTAAGAACAGAGATGGTCCGGAAACAAGATACGATTTTACTTGATTGCTAAGTCCACTGCACAAGCATGTTTACAAATTGCTCAAACTCCTGCCAGGTTTGGTTATCAAGTGGATGAGACATAGAAAATATTTAGTATTATGAATGACTGTTGTTATTACAAGGTATTGTTGGTTTAAAACTTTATAACATAATACATCGCATAAGATTGTTTTTAGTAAGCTTAAAGGTTTTAACTAATCACTATTTAGTACTTTAATATAGGTTTTCTAAATCAAATCATATTCTTTAGTAGTTTCATAATAAATGTCATAGAAAGTAACGAAGAGGCCCTTGACTTTCGAGACTATGTTTGTCATTCAATTCATAACATGATTCTATCTTTAGATTCATTATGGTGTTGTCTTGTAAATCCATTTCGTATCCACTTTCATACAAATATAAGAGTGATTTTAATTTTAGACTCAAATATGAATTCCATAAAGATAAAATAAAGTACTAATATTATAATATATGTTTCAAGAAGAGCAAATCAAAAAGGAAACGGAAATCATCAATAATGCAGCAAAGCAATTGTTCAGAAATTTTGTTCATTGACTTCATTCAAATCACGACTTTTGATTGAAATGATCTTCTATGGCTTATAAGAGCTATTTGGTGTTTCATTTCAATAATTTGTTGCATGTGGAAATATAATCAGTCCACATGGTTGTGTAGTCTCTGCTTATTCAGCTCTGGACTTAATACTTACAATTGTGCTTAAGGATCGGGTTTGAATGTACTCATTCTTGTCATGTAAGAATCTTGTGTATCATCTCTGTCCTTGTTGAGGAACGGGGTATACTCATATCACCTTCATATCTCACTCTTGTAGTATCTCAAATTTACTAAAAAAAAATTTTACAAAAAGGGGGCCATGAATTGTCAAGGATTAATGTTAGGGGGAGGACCATTTTATTTTCTTCAATGTCCAAAGATTCAAGGAAAGAAATGATATTGCATAAATCTTAAAATAGATTACCAAATAACAATGCATAAATGTGAAGTAATTGTTAGGAAAAGAGTAAAAAAACACATAACTGAAATTTAAGGGAAATTACAACATCATTTCTTTTGCAAATGTTAAGTGAACCATGAGAAAGGAGAATGAAAAATTGTGAAGCAAAATAAGGGTTTAAAATGAAACAAAACTAAGAACTAAAGAGAAAAGATATAAGTGTTTGAAGTTACCTAATAAACTAAGAGTTACACCCCATTTGAACTGGATGATCGCTGGTGAGNCAACAAAAAGCCTTATGAAAAACCGCAATTATCCTATCGAGGAACAGTGAAGTGTTTTGAGTGTGGAGGAGCACATTTCAAACGTGACTGCCCTAAACTTATTGGGGAAAAAGTTGAAGGGAAGAGATGTTTCATCTGCAATGATCCGGGACACTTTGCTAATGTTTGTCCACAGAAAAAGAAAGTGGGTGAACCACAACAACAAGATTCTGCTGAAATAAAGCCCCGTGCAACAGGAAGAGTATTCGCAATGTATGCAGAAGAGGCTACTAAGCCAGGTACATTAATCTTACACATCTGTATGTTGTTAGGAGAATGCGTATATGTTTTGTTTGATTCTGGAGCTACACACTCCTTTATATTCCTAACATGTTTAGAAAGACTCAGATTACCGATGCGTGATCTAGGGTGTGAATTAGTAGTTTCTACACCAGCATCGGGACCAGTTACGACCAGTTCAGTCTGTGTCGGATGCCCGATCCAAATTGCAGGACGCAAGTTCAAAGTGAACTTGATCTGCTTACCCCTTCAAAATCTAGACAATATTTTGGGAATGGATTGGTTGACTGCCAATCACGTTCTTATTGATTGCGGGAAACAAAAGATAGAGTTTCTAAATTTGAATGATTTAGAACTGAGCTCAACTCGGGTCATTGCGAAAGATATCAAAGATGGAGCTACTTGCTATGTGATGTTAGCTCAGGAGAAAAGAGAGAATACTGAAGAACAAATCATCGGAATTGTCAACACCCAATTTCGTCCGGGTTGACTAATAGATTTGTTTTATTTTCATCATGAGTGTAGAATAAATAAAAAATAAAAAAAATGAAAAAAAATAATAATAATAAAACAAAAGAAAACGTTCTTCCTCCACCGAGCGCGTTCGGCTCCTTCCCCTGCATGAGACCGTTCGTCCTCTACCGTGAGCCGTTCGGCTCCTTCCCCACTGATGCTCGGCCATTCGACCTCAATGACGCTCGGCCGCTCATGCTCAACCGTTCGGTCATCCTCATGCGTTCCACTATTGGCCCGTTCGGCCTTTCGGTCCTTTAGGACGTTCGGCCTTTCCTAGCCTCAACCGTTCGGTCATTTTCTTCCAGCGTTCGGTTTGTGCATTCGGCCTAGCAGCAAACAACGTGTTCAGGCGTTCGTCCAAAATGGTCGTGCTGTTTGTGTTTTAAAATTGTCTGAGGACGCTCGCTCATCTACAGCTCGCTCGGGCAGATCACTCCTCCTCATTTACCGCTCGTCCATGCAGTGTCTCACGCGTCCACACTTTCAGCCTCACGGACGTTCGACTTCAATCGCGTTCGTCCGCTCGGCCTCAAACCATTCGACCTCAAAGACATTCGGTCGTTCGTCCTCATCTGTTCAGCCATTCGGTCTCGTTGACGTTCGGCGTTCCTCTCTTCACGGACGTTCGACTCTTCAGTCTCGTAG